CTGGGGCGGCCGCCCGCACCAGCCTCAGCCCTCGCCTGGGCACGCTGTCGGCGGAGGCGCCGCCTTCCCCGCTGCCCCTCGGCGGACACTTCTCCGTCGGCGGGCTGGTCAAGCTGCCCGAAGACACGCTTGTCAAGGCGGAAAGCCCCGAGAAGCAGGAGCGGAGTCCCTGGATGCAAACCCCCCGGTTCTCGCCACCTCCCCCGAGTAAGTAGTGGTCCGGGAGCGGGCGGGATGGGGGCTCTTCGGGGCGGCTCCGACCCTCCCGTGGACCGAGGGCAAAGCTGTGCCGGTGGCCGGGGCTTTCCTGTCGCTCTCGCCCTCACTGCCTCTGGTGCTATATCTTTGCGCGGTTCGTACTTTTCTGGGACAGTTCGATCCTTCCAAAGTACTGAACGGATTCGAGTGTGTGGAGAATGGCTGCGAACGCACAGGAAGAGCGGCCGTGCCAGGGTGAGATATTGTGCCAAATGTTAACCGGGGGGGAAAGAAAAAGCAACACGGCCAGTTTGTTAATTTAGCCTGGGGCTCGAACTAGCTACGCAAATTTTGACTCAGCACCACTGAGGCTTTCTCAGAAAGTGGCTCGAGTAATTCCATAAGGATCTGCACAGACCGGTTTCCTAGAAGCGGGAGCCTTGTGGGCTTCAGCCACACCGGCTGCTGTCTTAAATAGTGCATTTCCAAAGTCCGAAGAGCCACAGTGATGTTTTCCTGCTTTAAAGTGATCTAAATTAATAAAATAACAACGTGAGAGTCGAAATCGGAGAACCCTGTTAATTTCCAGTGGCTGTGCTGAACCAGGGTCTGGACAGCATGGGCCGGCTGCCCTCGGCCTGGCCGTGCTCTCTTCCTGCCAGGGATCCTGTGGAAAGGGGTGACCTTGGTCTGAGGCTCTCCAAGCGTTTGGGTCGCCCCTAAAAAACCTACAAACAGAGCTGCTTTCTCTGGAACGTTTGTCCCTGGAGAACGGCAGGTTTGCCGACAGGACTTGTGTAAAGCAGCGATTTAATTTATTTAAATTGCAAAGTAAAATTTGTTGTTGCTAAGTAAACCCGGGGCAGATGGGTGTTGAAGACCCTTAGAAATCTTAAATAAGAGGAGAGGACCACGGTGAAGAGTGGTAGATAGAGCATGAGTGTCAATTCAGACCTCGTAATTAATTACATGCTTAATCCGGTTCCCAGGGGCCTAATGAAGAGGGTGTGAGACTGAGAAGCCAGCCCGTTTTGTTTGGGGTTTTTTTCCTGTAATCCAATAAAAAGAACAGGACTTGTCTTTTTCTTTTTGGAGGGTTATTCCCTTTATTATCTGCGTCTCCTCTACGTGAGCCAGGGTAGCTGTGAAGGCAGGAGGTACAGCGTTTATGGGTGTGTGATTCCTGCCTGTTGCCGGGTTCTTAATGGAGTTGGAGCTTCCTGATATGAACCACCTTTCTCTCTCTTTTGGACGGGACATGACAATTTCATGTGTGCCCCAGGCAACACTGGTGGTTTTGGGGCAGCTTGCTTCAAGTGGGACCCTACTTCCCCCTTTTTCCACCTCACCTGTGGTAGGGTGGGGACTCTATAGGCTATGGGGGTTTGGGCACTGCTAACCAAGCTGTCTCTTCTTCCCCGGCTGCTCCCGGGCACAGGGCGGCTGAGCCCCCCCGCCTGCACCCTGCGCAAGCACAAGACCAACAGGAAGCCCCGGACGCCCTTCACCACGGCGCAGCTGCTGGCCCTGGAGAGGAAGTTTCGGCAGAAGCAGTACCTGTCCATCGCAGAGCGTGCAGAGTTCTCCAGCTCGCTCAGCCTCACCGAGACCCAAGTGAAGATCTGGTTCCAGAACCGTCGCGCCAAGGCCAAGAGGCTCCAGGAGGCCGAGCTGGAGAAGCTGAAGATGGCAGCCAAGCCCATGCTCCCGCCTGCTGCTTTCGGCATCTCCTTCCCACTGGGCGGCCCGGCCGTGGCCGGTGCTTCCCTGTACGGCGCCTCCAGCCCTTTTCAGAGGGCAGGGCTGCCCGTGGCTCCTGTGGGACTGTACACAGCACATGTAGGATACAGCATGTACCACCTCACATAGAGCCTCAGCCCAGCCCAGCCCTGCTGGCTGTCTGCTCCTGCCGGCTCCACACACATTCCCTCCCTGCTCCTCTGGCTCTTCTCTGTGGACTTCCCCATGGACCCTATGGCAGAGACTCCTCCAGTCTGGCTCTGCTTGACCTCTGTGCTTCCCCCTCTGATGCTGAGCCCCTATCTCAACACTGTTCTGATGTCCTCAGCTGTCCTGGGGAGCTGGCAGAAACCCGAGGCATCACCCCAGCTTTTTCCAGGCGCAGGGTGGTGATGGGCCAACTGTGTCCTGCTTCTCTGGGTCTAGCTGGCAGCCTGCAGAGAGCACCCTGCCATGGGGGAAGGAACTGTGGAAGAGATGGAAAAAGGGGACTGAATGACGGGATGTATTTCTTGCTTTCTGCAAGGCGAGGTCAAGAGGTAGAAGTGTAAAACAGCCTTTCCCTTTCCCATGTAACAGCGTTGTCTGTTACCTTCTTTGCTCCTCCACCAGCTCCTTTGGAAGGGGCTCTGTGTACTATGTAATATACTGTATATTTGAAATTTTATTATCATTTATATTATAGCTATATTTGTTAAATAAATTAATTTTAAGCTACTGTTTGATGCAATTTGTTTGCTTGCTTTTTGCCCTCTTGGGGGTGACTGAAGAAGAAACCAGATTTGTGAGTTGGGGGACGAGAGAGGCACTGGCTATAGCAGCTGTTTTCCCTCTTCTCCAGGAGTCTTCAGCCTTGGATGGTGACATAGCAGCTGAGTTCTTAACTTTCTGTGTATCCTGCCCAGTCCTCACAACTGTTTGAGGTTTCCTCCTTTCCCCCCTCTGCTCCTCGGCAGCAGTTCCCACCGCATCCCTGCCCCGAAGGTGCATGTGATCGCCTCTGCCTCCCCCAGCGGCGCCGGGATCTGCCGTATTTCCTTAGTCCTAGGAAAAAGTTGCTCCGGTCCCTCTGTCTGGGAGGATCCCGGCCGCAGCCCCCGCTGCGAAGACTGGGGAAGGTTTGATATACCCCACACCTTAGTGCCAAGCCTAGTGCGAGGTAAAGGGGCTTTCCCCAGAGCTCCGTTTGCCTTCCCGTATTAGTCGGGGGAATGGAGCACCGGGATTTGGGGCGGTGGGGAGGAGAGGGGACTGTCGCGGTTCGGCTGGTGCTGGAGAAGGGGACGAAGGACGCTAAGGGCGAGGCGGTGTCAGCACGGGAGCCGATGGCTCAGGGGATGGGGTGTGGGGCCGATGTGCTGGGCACGAGTGCGGGCCTGGTG